GGAGAAGCAGTTTTTTCTGGTTCAATTGGGGCTCCCCCCTCAGTGGAGTTTCTGCTGAAATCATCTCTCTCTGCTGACTCTACGTCTCTCAACTCAGACGAGGACCAGCAAGCATGTCAGCCATCTCCAGGGTTAGAAGAACCAAAGACTAACCAGCTTGCCGGTCTTTTTTTTGAGGCACCTTAAACCAGTGTTGGGAAAGTTCTCTTTCTACGTGAACTAGTTCAAAGTTCAGTTAAAACATTTTAAAATGAACTAGTTCAGTTCATAGTTCATAATTCAACATTTTGAACTAAGTTCACAGTTCCAAAAAATGAACTAGTTCATAGTTCTTTTTTTTTCATATATTGCTCAATTACACCGTAGCCTACTGTAGAACCACAGACAGCAATTATTTTATCAGTTGTAACTCTGAAACTGTGCGTCAGATTTCATCTTCATATCCAGTTTTGAATCCTTATCCAACCAGGGTTTACATTAGCATTGAGGGGACAGCATTTCCCCATTGTTGCTTTAATGCTTTGTTGCTGTCCATTCACTTCACACTAGTAGCAGCTGCAGCTTTCACCCCTACAGTATATTCTCAAAAACATCAGGAAAAATGTGCTGCTTGAATGGTCTTTTTTATGAGGAATTATTCAAAGAAACACAGGAAAGTAGTCTTTAAGGTGCAAATGTTTTTATTTTATTTTAATAATTTTTTCCATTTGAAATTTAATTTCAGTACATACTAAAAAGGAATCCTGGAAAATTATACCAGGCAGGTTTAAGTGCGGATTTTTTTCACTGAAAGCCGGCGGGCAAAGTTTGCAGAGAAATGTAAGATTGTTGCCATCATCCTCACCGACCACCTGGTCATAAAACTGTTTTAAGTGATCATACTGCTGCTTTGTCGCCTCCACGGTCGCCTCCATGCTGCTGTGGCTTCCACGCTGCATTTTGTTTTGATGACGCACGCGGCTGTAGGCTGCGACGCTGGTAGCTGGTGTTGCCAGGTTGGGTGTTTTTCCCGCTACCTATTAAGGCCTGTTTACGGTGTGATTTAGCCGAGGTTTCGCCTGGAGGGATCTATAGAAATTTGGCAACCTATTGAACGAAGTTGAACTGAGAGAGCGTGCCGTTCACAGACACCAGAATGAACAAGTTCACAATAACGTTCATCAGGCAGTAATGCAGTACGTTCAGTTCACGTTCGCCCAAAATATGAACGAGTTCATGAACTTTCGTTCAATGAACGCGTTCAGGCACAACACTGCCTTAAACATACCATCAATCTAAGCGTTTTGTGGGGTGATAGCAGCATGCAGATTTCCAGGTCCCAGTTTATAATGTGGCTTCCAAACCACAAGAAAACAAGAGAAAGCCATGGCAAACCCAGGCCACTGGAAAAACTGATGTTGAACACCCTAAGTTCTATAGAAGCAACAAGGTGCCACGCCATGCATCAGCGGTTACGATGATCCTCCATTGAACGGACTGTGAGACATATCCACAATCTCACCCAGCAGGTTACTGATCTAAAAAAAGAGCTGCAATATAAGACCGCTGATCTGCACAAGGAGGGAAGACAAATAATTTAATTTCAGGTTGACTGCAAAGCACAGATGGAACAAATCACAGAACTGGAAATAAGTTTGGAACGTGAACGTCACATGAGAGTCAAAAGAAGAGAAAGAGGAGAAGCAGGAAACATTTGCAGTAACCCAGCCTACAGGTGCTCTGCATGAGCTTAAGTTCCTTAAGAGGGAGGCTGAGAAAAATGCCTGGGGCAGATTGACTGGCAGAGGTTTGGTAGAAGAACAGCGGCTGAGGGTCAAATATGAGGAACAGCTGAAGACTAAAACTGAAAATGACTCCAGACTCAATAAACAGGAGGAATTGATCAAATCTCTGAAGAGTCAAGTTGCACAGTTGACAGTAGGGTTAAAACTTTCTTTGAAAAAAGAACATCATGAAGCTTCCTCACAAACAGAGAAGTCCATGAAAACTGAAGCTTCCAGTCAAACAGAGGCACCCACACAAGCAAGGCTCCAAAGAAACACAGTTGGTTCCACAGTTAGAGGTCCCCAGCATGGAAACAGGAGACAGAATACAAACTGAGGCTCCAATGCAAAACCAAGCGCCTACATATATACTTGCCATCCTGCAAATCCAGGCCCCTATCTTAAGGCAGGACTGTACATTACCCAAGGCCTCCACACATAGAAACCACCATCCAAACAGAGGCCTGCATGAATATAGAAGATATCCTCCATACAGCAGCCATTAGACAAACACAGGCCACCAGGTTGTCAGAAGCACTTAAGGGAAATCCATCCATTTTCGAAGTGTTTTCTCATGTAAATAAGCGCAACAGCATAAAAAAAAGTATAAAACAAATGATGAAATAGTCTATAAAATAAAATAAAAAAATCGTCCCTTCCTTGAACCGCCACCTTAACACGCTGAAAGGGTTTCAGTGCTCAGATGATACTAGAGGCTATGTTCTCGAGGGCTTAAATGCTCCTGGTAGGGTCTCCCAAGGCAAACAGGCTCTGGGTGATAAGCCAGACGAAGAGCAGTTCAAAAGGTTAACATTGAACTTAGCCAAAGAAATAAACCTTTTCTATATAGAAAATTAGTTAAGTAAGAGAATTTTTTATTTCAAACACAGATTTGCACAACTCTTCAGCAAATGTGTCCTTTAGCTATTTGTATAAATTTCATTTTTTGGCTTATATGTGTTGTTTTATTCTATATGATTGATATATATTGATATTTTGATAAAAAAATTATTTACTGATTTAATTGAACATAGATGTTCATGATATTGCTTTATTTAGGCTGTAACTGACTTTGCAAAGATTAACTGTTGAAAGAATGAACCATATATCTTGCCATGTGAGTGAAAGCTTTAGCCTTGACATAAAAATAGTTAAAAAGGTAACACATTATCACAGATATGTATTTTATATTATTTTCGAAGCTGCAAAGAAAAATAAATAACAGGTCCATGTAAAGTGCACTGGTGTGGATCTCCGATAACAAACCACTGATATATCGAATTCAACTAATTAGTAAAGATCAGAGTCAATGTCCGATCCAGTTATTGAATCTGTGCATCTCTGATTTTTGCCATGAGCAATAAATCTAAGTCTATATATATATATATATATATATATATATATATATATATATATATATATATATATATATATATATATATATATATAATAGTGTTTCTGTATAATTGTCATGATTGATCTGGAACTCAGTGGACTGGTGAACCGGAACTGGAAAGTCTGAAGGGGAGATAACAGGGATCAGTTCAGGGACCGTAGGAAATTTGACTGAGGCTTGAACATTACTGGAGAGGGACTCACGTTTGAGGGTGCTCTTGTCAATCCTTGAATCCAGCTTGTGGGGGTTAATCCTAAGAAGAGGTAACTCTTTTGAGGGCGGACAGATAGACAAGCGTTGGACCCAGAGGAGTAAAGGAGCGGGCTGTCACTTGGATTTCCGAAGAGGACTTGAATGGATCATGTGGAGGTTTTCCCCTGCTCAGTGTGTTCTCAGTTAATCCTTCCAGGGGGTTAGGTATCCAGTTACTCAGGAAGGCTTCCTGCCGAAGAGCAAAGACAAAAACTAGATAAGACTCAGAGAAACAAAGCTTAGGTTAGACTCAGCTAATCTCAGCTTGGCTAGAGTACCCAAAACTGGCAAACACTCTGGTGTAGAGCTAGTGACAGCCCACTGCTCAAATACACCTCCAGTAATGATCCAACGAGCCGCAGGTGTGCAGGGAGGCCCAACGAGGACAGTGCACCACCTGGTGGTGGAGAGAGAGAAACACTCAAACAACCCGCACAAACTGGATTCCTAACAATATCATAATAATTATCATTTGTAATTATATTTACTCTATAAATAGAATATATGATACAGTTTTATATATTCTATCCATCCATCCATCCATTACCTGACACCCTTATCCTAAGTAGGGTGGTGAGGGGTGCTGGTGACTATCTCCAGCTGTCTACAGACAAGAGGTGGTGTACATCTTGGACAGATCGCCAGTCCGTCACAGGGCAACACAGGAAAAACAACCATTCCCACTCACACTTAAGGAGAAATTTAGAGAAGTCAATTAACCTAACAGTCAAGTTTTTCAACATATTCTCATTATCAGTTCGTATGAAATCGTACGAAAAGTTATGCACTCCATTTCTTACGTTTTTCCTCAAAAAACCAGATCAGTGCGCATGCGCAGGCAGACAGACAAAAAAAGCAGACGTAAAACTGGGAAAAACAGTGCAATAATCACTTCTTTATGTCTCTAACAACGTTGCTTGCTGTTTTATATCTTAGGGTTAGGCTTAGGGTCAGGGTTAGGGCTAATTGTATTTAAAATTCTATGTTCTTGAATGGTGCGTAAGATGCGCATATGACAAAAAAAATGTCCAAAATGTACGGAATTACGGTGCATAACTTTTCGTACAATTTCATACGAATTCATAATGAGAATACACTGAGTTTTTGGACAGTGGGAGGAAGCCGGAGTACCCGGAGACAACCCATGCAAGACCCATAGAGAATTGAACTCGGAACCTTTTTGCTGCAGCAGTGCTCCAAAGCACTGCTGCATATATATATATATATATATATATATATATATATATATATATATATATATATATATATATATATATATATATATATATATATATATATATATATATGAAAGAATATATCTGCTCTGGCAGAGGAGACATGTTCTTCTACCTCCCAGGGTTCCCAAAAGTCTGGGACTGTCCCTGTTTGGGGTGGTGATGGAAGACAGAGGGACAGAGAGACCTATGGACTGAATGGGAGGGAGAGAGCTGCACACACAGGGAGAGAGAGAGAGAGAGAGAGAGCTGCACACACAGGGAGAGAGAGAGAGAGAGAGAGAGAGCTGCACACACAGGGAGAGAGAGAGAGAGAGAGAGAGAGAGAGAGAGAGAGAGAGAGCTGCACACACACAGGGAGAGAGAGAGAGCAGCAGAGGTCCCTGCAGGCAGTCAGTCATTCTGTCTGCAGCGCAGCGCTTCGCTCGGTATGTGGCAGGAGGGAGCGCCTGTCTTGGACTAAAACCACAGGAAAAACACGCTTTAAAAATAAAACATCAACAGGGGGATTAATACAAAACCTGACGAGGATGAAACTCTATCCGTCCGCTTGAAGACATTTTCCACTCCGCCGTTTTTTCTCTGATTTATTACCGCTTTTCACTAAAAAGATGGCGAACGACTCTCCGGCTAAGAGCCTGGTGGACATAGACCTGGCATCACTGAGGGTGAGTGTCTGTTAAACGGCTGTTTTTATCTTTAGAAATGAATGTGTTGCTCCGTAGCGACACAGCCCTGCGGAGGCTTTTCTTTGTCTAATATCCGCTGGCAGGAGAGGCAAGCCGGGCGCTGCCGGCTTATAAACTAAACGAACCCATCAATTACAGCTGGAGATCAATTAAATGACCCCCACCTTCCTTTATGTGTGTTTTATATGCAGGATCCAGCTGGGATTTTCGAGCTGGTGGAGGTAGTGGGGAATGGAACCTATGGACAAGTGTATAAGGTTGGTGAAATCCTCCATCAGTGTGTTAAAGCCTCAGCTGAGGAGAAACCGACGGAAACTGAAGCACAAACATGCAGTTGTGTATTTTTTCCTCTCCCAGACTCAGGAAAACGTTTATTATAGATGTCCCCCCCCCCCCCCCCCCCCCTTCCTCTGGGAGCAAAGCGCTCTGGCCTGGATTATCCCTCTGATAGTGTTTTGGCCTCTGCTCTGCTTCTCCTCCATCCTTTATTATTTTATTAACCCAGCCTTAAAAACAGCATCCCAGCAAAAGATGCTGCAGCTATATTTGCTCCCTCTTCTCTCATCCACACCCCAGTTAAATACCCCCTTCTGCAGACCATGCTTTTGCCTTGAACTGATCAGCCCAATCCCATCCTTGCATGAAGGGCTTTTTACCACGCTGACCGACCTGTGCGCCATCGGGTGGGCGGTGTTTCATTGCGCATTTGTGCACAGTATTGCCCAGCAGGCCTGTGCGCTGCATTAATGGGGATAGGCCTGCTCACATCCCTACAGCAGGAAACTGGGTTTAACCCAGATCTGCATGGCCTTTACCCATCAGAGGGGAGCAGCATCAGGATTCTGTTGATGGCAGATTGAAATGTTGGGAATAAGTCAGAGCTGCTGCTTCTGATTGATTAGCCCTGATTCAAGCCTGAGGTTTAAAGAAATATGTGTTTCACTTTTGAATTTGGTGGATATGTTTCTGCATTTTGCTTAACACTAAAATCTCGTGCAATGTGTAATGTGCAATAACTATTTAATACCCTGTGTAATAACCTGTTTCTTTATATGTGATACCCAGCGCAATAGTTATATAGATAGAAAAACATATAAACACCTAACTATATAAATACCCATGTGAATACCCTGTACAATATATTATCAGCCTGAAAGCTGAAGTTTTTTTAAAGCAGCATATATACAGGGCATCCACATAATTATATATATATATATATATATATATATATATATATATATATATATATATATATATATATATATATATATATATATATATATATATATATATATATATATATATATATATATATATATATATATATAATGTGGATGCACTGTATATACTGTATTTACCCCCATGCACCTTTTATTCTTTTGGCACCTTCTTCATCTTTTTGACTATTTGAACCAATGTAATGACTAAATTTCTCCACTGTGAGAATAATAAAGTATATCAATCAATCAATCAATTAATCAATCAATCGATCTGCCACAGAGAACTTATTAAAGACAGGTTATATTTACAGTCAGAGTGTTCTCTAAAGTATACCTAACAGTTTATTTAATTTCGCTGTGTATTTCATTACTATTAATTCTACTTCTGAGGCAGTTTGCTGTGGGCGTATATGGGATTCATTTTGTTCCATATATTTTTCTCTTTTTTTCGCTTGTTTTCCTGTTTTGTTATGTAACTTTAAAAAAACAATAACAAGAAACCTACTGCATAAGCAGAAAGAGTGAGTGTGATCTAAAAGCAGCTCATTATAAATGCATATTGTGAATATATCTGTGACGGGGTATTATTAATATTAAAGCCTCCGAACCTGTTTGTTATCCAGTTTCTGTTGGCCTGGTGTTATGATCGTTGGCTTGTCAGGTGGAGTAGTTAAAGCCCACACCTTAAACCGATTACAGTGTTCAAGGGTTTGGATACACAAGGAAAAGAGCAATGACAAAATGTTTTATCCTTGAAATAGTTACCAGGTTATTAGTATCATGGTATTTTGAGGTTTTAAAAAGCTACAGTTTTTAACATTTTCAAGATATTCCATTATTTCGTGCCGATGGGTAAAAGTCCTTTTTCTCTGCTGTCTGGTCCAGAGATTGGTCAAGTAATTGGCATCTGCAAGTTATCCATTAACAATTCATTGATCTTTATGATTGGATGAAGATTTATTGATAAGCAGCCATATAGGAAAAGCGTTCCATAAAAAATAATAAATCGCTGTATTTAACCATGTATTTTGTGAGCTGTATTAAATGCTGACTGATTAAATAGAAAAGGTGTTTTCTTACACATTATTTGACATATCTATAAGATATAACTAAACAGGAACCTATTAGTTAACTAAAGAATAAAAAGTAAATATAAGAAATGTATAAAAGAAATATATTGGAAATAAAATATGTGAAACACTTAAGATTTTTAATATTCAAAACTATTATTAAAAGACAGGGTATGTTGCTCCAACATGCTGTCAGACTTTTTGCCAATTCAATTTAATGGAGTGGAAAATAACTGTTATACTGTCTATTACCGCTTTCCCATTGGCCGACAAACCTGTTTCAACCCGCGAACTATCGGCTTTTAGTGGCAGTGGGAACAGCTTAGTGACGCGTGTCTACTCCGGTCAAACGACTCGGAAAGCAATATGTATGTCACAACATTTTTCTGGTCACATGTTGAATAACAAACCCAAATAGCTCTGCTTGTTTTCGAGAAACATGGCAGAGCACTTGCAAGATTGAGAGATTTGTGAGGTCCTTATGATTCGCGGAGTAGAGGAGATTCGTCACCAGGTTTCAGGCACCGTTTGAGTACGCCCTAGCTCCCGATACTTCACAGATTTCTGTCACACTGTCGACATCAGCAAAGCTTACCCCACATGATGTCGCCATCAGACACGCAGTGGTGGGGGACAGTTGCCACGCTATCTAGGGTTAGACCTGGCTTTTTGGTCTAATGGGAAAAGAGCCAAAAGCCGATTGTTAGCGGGTAAACCCGGTTTTGAAAAAAGGAGGTTTTTAGTGTGAAAGTGGCTTATTTTTGTTTCTATTAGAAATCCAATGCAGGGAGAGACTTTGTGCTGTTAGTGGTGCTTTAAACTCTCAGAATGTTATTATCTGACTCTATGATGTGCATTAACACACTAAAGCTTTTCCATTCTATCCTGCTAATTGCTAGCATGATAGGATTTTACCAACCTTTTTTTACAATGCCGTTAACTATTCTTTTCTTAAATCTACTTCAATCCCACCAGAGAAGTCAATGCTGCTTCTTCATGCAGTACGACTAAATGGACACTATCTAGATGATAACCTAAAGAGCTTATTTAATGTTTATATTTACAAACAGAACCTCATAAATTCTGCATCTTTGTTGCCAATAAGAATCATAAATATTCCCGGACCGGACTTTGGATCAAGCCATGTGTCTCCCCTGGCATTCCTTTCTTTGTATTGGCATTGCTTTTACTGCAAATAACTAGTGTTGCACCAATACAGATACCAGTATCGGGCGGAGCTCAGATCCAGCACTAAAATGGTGGTATCGGTATCGGCAAGCCAAAAAATAGGGCATTCTGAGAGCCAAAAGTTTATTAAACTATTGTCACCCATTCCAGGTAGACAATGAAAAGTTCTACTGGATTCACTTTGTATTAGTCTTTTCCTGCTTCACAAAGGTAGGCAGCAGCTTGACAAAGCCATGATGGTAATTATTTTACATCCAAGTAGTATGAAATTCTTCATATTCACACAAACATCAATTTCAAACAGATGGTATCGGTATCGGTCGATACTGCACAGCCAGGTATCAGGTATTGGGGCTAAAACATGGTATCGTTGCTACATTACAAATAACAGTGTGGCTCTGCTTAAGCATAAAGAGCAGTGCCCTTTTTGTAGACGTTGGCAATATAACACTGAAAGAATTTCCTTTTAAGCAGATGTTAGCAGTTAATCGGATTGGAACAAATTTTAATCCAATAACCCATTTATCAACAATTAATTGTAAGTTGACTGTTTGTTTACATTCCTAAGCGGAACTATTAGTTTGCAATTTCAGACCAAGCATTAAAGACATACATTTGCAGCAGATTGCTTCAAGAATTGCATATCCCTGACGTGCTGGTAAGAGGATAATAAAGCCCAGAAAGGAAAGTCTATGATATCATTTGTTCAAGACCATCTTGTTAAGAACTAATGCAATATGGCAACACAAAGTTTCGGCATTCAGTGGTAGAACTCTGTTGCTACTATGGAGTTACTTCACGTAGCCCCACAAGACATTTTCAGACATTTTGCTTTTTCTTCTTCTACTCTAATGTGCTGCTATCATCTGATATACATTTACACCGCAGGTGAACCACTCCTGTGTTTTTATGAACCGTACCAACCCTGTTGGGGAGCCGTCTTTCTGGTCTGTTTCAGGTTCTTTGATCATCTGCTACAAAAACCAGACTCTGGCATCATAAAACGTGTCCCAGCTGTTTGTCCCAGAGAAGATTTCATGACGTCAGCCTTAGTCGGAGACCTCATGCAGCCAAGGAAAACATTTTCACGACCCAGACACTTGACAAAGACGCTGTCACTGTGCAGATTAGCTGTTTATTGAGGCGCTCTGTGTGGACTTTGAGCAGAAAGGCTCATACTCGCATCAATGCCTGCTGATGTAGCGCAGTTAAGGTAGGCGCTTCCTGGAAAGGACTGATAATTGGTGTTCTAGTTTAAACAGTGATGGCTTATCATTTTCATGGGACAAATTCATGAGGATTGCTCAGATTGCATAAATTAGGTGGAATACAACATTGGGAAGGATTTAAATAAAAAAAATGCTTTGCAGCAGATAAAAGACAGGTTGATTTTTGCATTATATAGCCCCTATGACTCGGTAACAACCTCCTTCAGAACCTGCATCTGATGTGGGAGATGAAAGAAACAGGAACAAGAATGGAATGGAGTAAAATACTGCAGCACTGGGCCAGGAGTATGTTCTGTTGGAAAGAACAACAGTGAGCATGAAACAGTCAGGGCCTGAAAGAGCTCCATCAATAAGTTGATCACAGGAAATTCCCATAGCTTAGGAGAGAACATAAGGTGAAATTAAGACATTACACTCTGTTTTTTTTAAATTAACAGATCAATGTTAAGTTTATAGAACATGGATAATGTGTGAAAAAGGATGTTTTTTTAATGCTATAGTCAGCAAAACAACCAAGTTTATTTGCGCTCCTGGGAACCTATCCAGATAC